AGTGTTATAGGATTCAGTCCTGAATGATAGTTAAAATGGTAATTGTGATTGTAAAAATTTGGAATTCTGATGTGGGTAAAAAAGGAGCCATTTCAGAAACAGAAAGGGGGAATCACATTACCATAAAATGTTTTTAAAAATTAAAAAGCTTGCAGTGGTCCTTTGGATCCCTGAACCTCCTCAACCCAGCAACAGAGATCTGTGATCCCAGAGGAATGGCAGAGGATCCAAAGAGCAGCAAAACCAAGAGACAGAGCACCAGACAGAGTGGCAGCCTTCTCAGCCCATGGAGGAAGGAAAGCTTAGTGTCTTTGAGCAGGAGGTTCACTTGTGGAGTAGGGCGCGTCCAGGTACTTAATTGGGGAGCTAGGCTTGTTTGACCCAAGGAGTTAGAGTTGGATGCCTTCAGGCTGATATAGTGGATTTGAGTGTCCTGTGATCATTTATCAGCTCAAAGAACTTTGTAACATTGTTGTAGCCAGGCAGAGGCCAAGAAGCCTGTGGCTGAGAGGCCAAGGATCAAAGAGTGGCCTGTCTGGGTACTGGACTGGGACTAGGCTGTCCTGACTGAAAGAATTGTGTCTTGAGAATTTCTAATTCTGAATTGTTAACTTGCCTAATAAACCCTGTGGTATCTAAATTCTGTGGCCATTTCAGTGGATTATGGAACCCAACTGAGCAGAGAGTACTGTGGGCAGCATGCTTGGTGTCAGGACTGGTAAAGTAGGGAAGAGGATGGGGACATGTCTAACCTCAGCCTTGTGGGAATCAGCCTTGAACTGATAAGCTGGTAATTAATTTGATTCTCTTTCTCCTCAGGGTAGGTCAGAAATAAGCCCCTACACACCCTTTTTCTCATGAGCTATCTGTCTATCTATCAATCGAAAAATCGATCAATAGATAAATAGATATGAACTCTAAAGTCCATTAAAATCATACTGTGAGAAACACTGTCAATATCCTGGATACTGCCTCGGTCCTTCTTAGTTACTGGTGGGTCAGTACAAACCCCTGACTAAGACCTTAATCCTGGTGGGTCTCCGGAGGGAAAACTGGGGCAGGCCACCTTATCCCATATGAGATCACCAATGAGTTATCAAGAGTGCTTACTGACAAACACTCAATAAATCCAGTCTGTACTCATTTTAGAGAGAATGAGACTTTTAAAATTTGATTTTGCAAAATCAGGCACCAAACCTGGAATACATGGGCAGATGCGCCACATAGCCGTCTTGCAGATAATTTTAAATCCTAGCTCGAAAGTCCCTTCCAGGTTCCTCATGGACTGTTGGAGATAAACACTATCCTTTGCTGTCCATTCATGACATATGACCAATAGAATTATTTCAAATTTATAAGAAATGCTTGACTTTAAGCTTCACAGTATAGCCCAGGAAAGCTGACAAAAAAGTGCTTCTTCCTGGTATATAAAGATCAAAGACTCTTTACAGATCTATTGCTCCATATGACCAATGTATTCAATGGAGTTAACAATCTTCCCAGACTTCCCTTACTTCCCCTTGATGGTTACATTCTTATTTAAAGTTCCTACTTCTGGAACAGGTTCCTTTCCCCTTCCCCTAATTCATCCTGCTCACCAAACCGAGGTGTGTAGGCCCCTGTTGCTATGTCAATCAACAATCTATGTCTGCTCTAGCAATTTCCTGGACCCCCTTATTCCTGAAGATGGACCATATTGAGAATTTATTTCTCACAATACTACTTGTAGTGGAAATTCATTAAGTTGTGAAGGAATAATTTGGCCAATTTGCTCCAACTTGGGCTAGTTAATCTTGATCTGTCAATAAGAATTTATGTACAGCCATTTTTTAATGGTACTAACCTTTGGAAGAGATATGAAAAGCCATTTGTTGAATTACTTCCAAATGTACTCTGTCTTGAGAGCTCCAGATTTATGTTGACTTGTGACTCTCAGCTAGAGCTGAGTTCTGTTGTGCTTTTTGATGGGAGAAACTGAATAGGAAAGAGAAATACCACTGGGAAATTGCTATTTCTTATTCAGGGGTAATTGATTACTTATTCTATATAAGAGTAAACTGCTGAGGAATGGATTGTATTCTCTGAAAAACAATAGCAACCTCTTAACATAATAGTGCTTGCTCAAGAAATCTGTCATGCTGACAGAAAAATAGATCTATTCTTCATGCTTTGTGTCACTTTATAGTTTCAGTTTTTGTCCAAATTGGTTTGGTTTGACTTGTGCACTAGACAATCCTAGAATCTATGAAGATTAAAACAAGAGATCATGCTTAAATTTCTTCTCTGAAAACATGTGTCTTTGTACCTCTTTGCTGACACTGTCTCATTCCACTAAGAATTTACACCAGCTTAGAACTCCTCAAAGAGTCCTGGTACCACTGTGAGTTAGGTGTTAGGTTGCTAACTGAAAGGAGATAGAGAAGTAATCTGACAAAGGATGTGGGTGACAGACATGCAGATCAAGAGAGGACAGTGGAGAAAGTCCCAAGATGGGTAGAAATAGACTATGCTGAGAAATGGAAAGAAAACTACTATGGTTAGGCTGGATCAGAGTGGGCAAGGGTAAAGATTGAGCTAGAAGTGGGCTGAGGCCAGATTGCTCAAGGCTTTGTAGCCTCATAAACAAATTTTAACATGATTCTAAGTGCAGATAAATCCATAAGAGGACCTTGTTGTATACTCATTGAATCCACAGCAGTCAACTCTATTCCAACTCATAACGACCTATAGGAAAGAGTAGAGCTGTTTCTTAGGGTTTCTGAGACTGTAACTATTTATGGGAGTGGACAACCTCATCTTTCTCTTGTGGAGTGGCTGGTGGGTTTGAATCACCAACCTTGTGGTTAGCAGCCCAATGCTTAATCCACTACACCACCACCAGACCTGCTTGAATGTTATATAGGGTATAGAAATTATATCAGATTTGCATGTAAAGACCATAATTCTGCTAGGCAAAGAACAGATTGGAGAAAGGGGGAAACAATAGAAGGAGGAGACCAAATAGAATCTCTTACATTATTTCTGCTGAGAAATTATGTTGGCTTGCACTAAAATAGACTGGGGAGATGTGGAAAGATTCAACAAGATTTGTTGCTGGATTGAGTGTTCAGGTGAGAAGTGTTAAGAATGACTCCTAGGTTCTTGGTTAAACAACTGGACAGATGTTGTTGACATTTACTCAGGTAGGAAGGATTAGCTATGAAACCCTCTTGGGATTAAATGAGATAAAGAACTCTTTTATTTAAGGTGCTTACAAGAGATCTAGTGGAGCTATAACATATGAGTTGGATACACAGAATTTAAGTTTAGAGAAAGAACTAGGTTGAATATGTAAATTTGGAAGACAAATATAAAGACAATCTTTGAGCTCAAACCTATAAATTACTAGTTGATTTTATTAAACTAACTTTGGAGTACGGTGTGTGGGTTATAAAATGAATAAAGAAAGATATTTCAAGTAAAGACAGTGATAAGATAAATGCACCAAAGCCAAGCAACAATAACACGACGACAAGTCCACTGCTTTCTGGCTATGAATTGATTCCTCATCATTGCAACCCTTATGATGGTTTTCTGAGACTATAAAACTTTATAGGAGCAGACAACCTCATCTTTCTCCTGCAGAATGACTGGTGGGTTTGAACTGCCAACCTTGTAGTTAGTAGTCTAGCACTAACTAGAGAGGACCACCAGGGCAGAGCCACCAAAGCAGGAATGCAACGAATGAGCCAATGGGCTTACTACCCAGTTGATGAGAAATAGGAAATAAAGTGGCTGGCTATGGAATGCCCTCTAACTTAAATTGTTGTTTTTGTTAAGTGCTGTTGGGTGGGTTCCGACCCATATCGACCCTGTTTACGTTTTCCGAGGAGCAGCTCATGAGCTTGAATCACCCACCTTTGAACAGCAACTTTGTAGTCCAGTGCATTAGCCCACAGTGGCACACCAGGACCCCTAACTAAAGTTGTTGTTGTTAAGTGCCATCGAGTTGATTCTGACCCATGATGACCTAGTGTAGGGTTTTCAAGGAGTAGCTGGTGAGCTTGAACCATCAACCTTGCAGTTCAAACAACTTTGCCGTCTGACGCATTAGTCCACAGTTCCCCACCAGTTAAGCACTGCCTATTTTGAATACCTTGGTCATATGGAGCAATAGATCTGTAAAGAGTCTTTGATCTTTTTATTCCAGGAAGAAGCATTTTTTTTGTCAACTTTCCTGGGTTATACTGTGAAGCTTCAAATCAAGCATTTCTTATAAATTTGAAATGATTCTCTTGGTCATATGTCATGAATGAACAGCAAAGGATAGTGATTATCTCCAACAGAATAACAGCCTGCCATTTGCTACTAAATGTGGCAAAAGTAGGTCTCCAAAAAGGCACACCTGATGTTCGAGGTGCTGTTGCCACGGTAATCAGTTTCCACCCATAACTACTCTGCTCCAGTGAGAATGAAGAGGAATGGAATTAACCAACCCACAATTCATTGGCTTTCTGGATCGCTGGTCTCCCCATCCATCACTCCTCCTCACAGTGTCCGCCCATACAGGGCCCCTGTAAATATCTCATCACCCTTCACCTGGCACAACGAAGCAGCCCAGCGAGGAGGCTGAGAGCCTTTCTAGTTAAAAGAACAAGATATTCTAGACATTATACACGCCTGTTTGAAAAGTGTACACTCCACACTGCAGAAAATTGATGCCTTTCCAGAGTTATCTGCTGTGGCACCTGACTTAGTAAAAGGGATTTGGCTAACTCTTAGCATCATCATTGTTTGTCACTAATAATCATCTTACTATCCCTGGAGTAATATGTCTCTTTTTGGAATAATAGCATATGGTCCTATTAGCTTTCTTTGCTTGGGACCCATAGATATATATATTTTTTGTTCTATAATGCTGTGTGTACATTTCCAACTGAGAATTAAGAAAGTGATTATAATTTGAACCAGAAAGTTAACATTTAATGTGTACTGATTATGCCTATTTTAATATTTCACAGAAACGAAGATGCCGTCAATCAGATGGCCGTTGTCCCCTTCCCGATACCATCACGTTCCCCAACTTCACTTGAGGTAAGATGGCCCCTGTTGTTAGCTGCTGTTGAATCACTTCAGCCTCATGGTCCTGTTTGTGCAGGACAGAACTGCCCATAGGGTTTTCAAAGCTGTAACCTCGCAGGAGCAGGTCTCTAGACCTATACACCTCTGGGTGGATTCAAACTATCAACCTTTTGGCTTGTAGTCCAGTACTTTACTGTTTGTGCCACCCAGAGAATCCAATTTAGTAAATATGGTGAATTTATCAAGGTCATTTCCCCAAAACCTAAAGAGTTCCCAAAACCTTTTTTATTTTCAGTATGTGGTATCCCAAATTCAGAATTTATTGACTAGGGAATTTCCAGGATGTAAATTGAACACATTTGAGATTAGATTTTGAAGTAATATATTAATTTTATCACAGACATATTAGAACCTAACCAGATAAGTGCTCTTGTTGTTACTGGGGACTGTCAAGTTAATTTGGACTCAGGACCACCCTATGTGACAGACCAGAACTGCCTCCTACAGTTTCCTTGACTGTAATCTTTATGGGAGCAGATCACTTGGTCTTTCTTCCATGGAGCTTCTGGGTAAGTTTGAACTGCCAGCCTGCAGGTGAGCAGCTGAGTCCTAAACTGTTATGCCACCAGGCTCCTTATTGAAGTTACCTTTTTCAAATTGCATTCTGGTTTCTTCTACATATACAATTCTGTCCTAATTAGATATAAAAAAGAAATAAAAGAGAATTCTGAAATATCTAATTAGGATCACAGGTGTCTTTACATAATTTTTTTAAACGGAAAAATTATTTGTAAAACAGGGTTACTATCATATGCATCTGATTTTCAAGTCGTCTGCATATAATGACTGTCTTCCCATTTAAGGTATTCTCAACACATTTTTTAGGTATTGAACATATTTTAATTCTCAAAGAAATGAATATATATAGTAACTAATCAAACAATACAGAGTTATTAGAAGAAAACATTTTTGTCATTTTCCTTTCTTACATTCCTGAGAAAGTTAGTGCTTACTGTTTAGTATCTCTCCAACGCTTTCCTTTGCTTCTGTAGCAAAGATAAACACACATATAAAAGTAATATCTTACTTTCAGTGAAAATTCATACGGTAAAAAGTTTGTGGAAAAATTAAACTAAAAGATAATGGAATTTTTCCAAGAGCTTTTTGAAGCCCCCTCTTATACATTACTTTTATTAATTAAAAAAAATAGTCAATGAATGTGTATTATATGGCAAACACTGTTTTGAGTATTAGCAATATAGTTGTGGATGGGCTGTCTGCTGTGGTTCATCTTACATGTGAGGCAAAAAGAAAATTTACTAACGTAAATAAATGGAGAGGGTGATCAAATAGTGACTGTTGCCTTTCAGAGAATGAAAAAATGCTGGCCACTTTGATTACAGTAAGACACTTGGACAATGTGAAATTTAAATAATATGTACATGATAAGAAAGATGAAGCCTTTCATTCTTTTGTCATATGTGCCAGTTACATTCAAAGTAAGAGACAGTATTATTGTTTTTGCACTTTACAAAGAAGAGATTGTGATTTAGAGAGATTAGATAATTTACTGATAAGAGGTATGCTGTTCATTATTCCCTCCTCTGTACCTGGAATTTGGACTGCAAGGTGGCTTTGAAGTGCAAGGTCGGCGGTTCAAGCTCACCAGCCACTCCTTGGAAACCCTATACAAGGTTGCTGTGAGTCAGTATGGAATCGATGGCACTTACCAACAACAACAAATTTGTATAGCTATGAAACATAAAGGAAATGATGTATATAAAGCTCTTAGAACCGCACATGATACAAAGAAAATATTCATTTAATATGAAATATTAACTTTACTTATTCAAATGTTTATATTATATCCTCAAGGTTTACATATATTATACTATATTTGTTATTTTCATATTTTAACTTGTATAATTACAAAAATGTTTCTGTAGTAACTAAGGAAACCATTATTAAGTTAATTGTAAAAGACAAAATTTACTAAGATCTTAATCACTGCAGAATCAATAGGAATAAGGTAGAAAATAACATGATGCCATTCATGATCATAATAAATAATCATACTCTGAAAATGTAGATGGCTGATTTTATTTTTAAATAAAGTAGACTAGTGTGGTGCTGTAGGATAAGCACTGGACTGGATGTTAACCACAAGGTCAGTGGTTCTAAACCAATAACTGGTCCTCAGAAATCCTATACAGCAGGGTGGTGAACACCTGTTCTATATGTTGTTGTTGTTGATAATTATGTATGGCTCAGGAATTATGTTATAAATATCCAAATGGCCCTTGGCAGATAAAAGGTTCCTCACCCCTGGTCTACATAGTCGCTATGAGTCAAAACCAAGCCAACTGCACTTAACAACAACAGCAAAGTAATAGATGTAAAATTGAAATAAAGCCTTTGTTAAGTTTTAAGAACTTTTTCACAATATTTAAATCAAATTTGAGTGTGCCATTATTTGATTTTCTTTTTCAAAGATAATTACAGCATATGTATATTTATGGATAATTACTATTTTCTCTAAAAGGATATGTTGCGTCCTGGTGTGGCGCTGTGGGCTGGACTGCAAGCTTGGTTTGACCTGCAAGGTCAGCAGTTCAAGCTCATCAGCTGCTCCTCAGAAACCCCATATGGGTTGCTACAGGTCGGAACTGACTCGAAGGCACTTAACAACAACAAAATGATGTGCTATGTGATGTTTCTATTGCAGTATCACAATTTGAATTATATTTTCAAGAGGGTATATAGTTTTAGTTCCTTCTCTGGACTGTTGACTTCTCGTAACTGCCACCTGTGGCTGGTCTAGGAAGCCTGTAGATATGCTTTCGTTCCTCAATCATTTAATCACATCCTCATCCCTATACATTTGCCTTAGAAGCCCTCCTGGATAAGTTGGATAAATTCTCTTCCCCATATTGCTGTTTCTTTGTCAGTGCTTAAGCATAATGTTGTTAAGTGCCATTCAGTCAGTTCCTACTCACAGGTATCCTGT